CACGTGTAAGTCTTGGCGAGTGCGACAGTGACTGGAATTGAGCTAGGCCCGATCGGGAGGGTGCCGAGGTATGAAGTTATCTCTGTACACGGGAGTACATCGCCTAGGCTAGTCGGTCTTTCGAATAATCGCGAATTCGTTCGGGCGCGTCGCGATTATCTATTTGCTCGCGTGTTTGATATTTCATTCCCTATTTTTATGGGAACTTGAAAATATCTTAGCGTTGCGACAGTAGAGTTTCAGTATACCGAATCGAAGTTCCCTTTGTAAGACACGAAATAAAATAAAGTGTCAGTAGAGTCACTTTAACTTAATTCGCTCCAAGTTAGATTAGGGTACCTTTGATACAGGTAGCACCAGCAGGCTGCGCCACTAGGGCGCATGTCGGGTCTCGATGCGTAGCCACCTCCTCGTGGTGAGACCTGGTAATTGGTATCGATTCCCAAAAATTATTTTTTTGAAGACGATACGAAGCTAAGAGCTACGCATAAAGTTTAAGATATGTGCTATTTCTTGTACATTTTAAATGTTCTCGTCGAACTTTAAAAATTAAGAGTGGGCAATATCTGTTAAAGTAATATGTGAAGTAAGAAGAATAAAGTACGGGAGGTAAGGTAAGTAAGGTAAGTAAGGCAAGGAAGCAAAGTAAGCAAAATAAGGTAAGTAAGGTAAGTAAAATAATTAAAATCTCCTGCAATGAATAGTCTGTGTATAGTATGTATATTCACGCAAATGCTGCGAAATTTATCTGGCTAAAACTGGTAGAAAGTGACGTCATTCCTAGGAACCTGTCGATAGGCGACTTCCTATTATGTTATATTATCCTAATACAAAATCGTAAAATTGGCTGAAAATTTTACGCCAAAGTGTAAAATGATTGACCACAGAATTCTTGGAAATGACGTCATTTCTGGGCATCTGTCGGCGAGCAACCTTCTATTATGTTATGTTATCCTAGTACAAAGTCGCGAAATCGGTCAAGAAATTCTCGCCGAGGCGGCAAAAGTATTCTACAAAGAATTCTTGAAAATGACGTAATTTCTTGGAACTGGCTTAACGATGGACCTCCTTTCATATTATGTTATCCGGATACAAAATTGTCAACTTGGTCAAAAGTTTCTCGCCGAGCCGGCAAAAGTATTGTCCACAGAAGTTCAAAAGTATTGTCCATTACAGCGGCAAAAGAATTGTCCATTTGTTTATAAAGCGTAAATTAATAAATCATACATGAATCTAATAATGAGACACAGAGTATATTTTATGTCATAAATGTATTATAATAAGATCTGATATATAGATACAATGTAGATGCTTATATCATTATAATATTTTATAAATAAACAACAAATAACATTCTTAACATACAAGTGTATTATGTTTTTAAAACATATGTTAACAGAATTTAAAAAATTTGTTATTCTTTTTTGAAATTATTTGTTTAAATTACATTAAAAAGTTCTGTTTAAATTATTATTAAAATATTGTAATATTTTGAAATATTTTAATACAGATGTATTTTCTTAATATATTCTAAATACTGAGCATTGATGAAAAATATTTATGAATTTATTAAATTTCTATAAATCGTTTGTAGATTAAATCTCAAGATGGATTATTGTTAACATAATTATTATATAAAGTACTAGTTATACAAAATGATTATTCTTCTAGTATGTATAAAACGCTTTGAATATTATATCAAAGTACGTGATTGAATATGTTTTGAATATTATAAGGAAATATCATGAATACATTACTTGATTATTAAAAATATATAGAAAATTTTTTAACATACGACATCAAATTGTTCTAATTAACAATCATGAACAACGTGTAGAGTTTTATTTTAATTGACGTTTTTATCTATTAGATCCCAAAGATTTATTCATATCTCAAATTGTAAATTATTATAATAGATATAAAGAAAAAATAAGAGTAAATAAGATTAAATACATAAGGCCATAATGCTGACATATGTTATATTATTTGAGGAATACAAACTAACTTTAAGCTGAAATGATATTTTGAAAACATTTTGAAAATTAAAAAATGAAGTTCATATTTAAACAAAAATTAATATAGTCACATTATTATATAAGTTATTAGATAATAAATTTTAGCAGTCAGCTATTTATAATATTTATTGACTAGACTTCTTTAGCTGACAGATAGTTTTAAAAAAAGTTAACAGATACTTTTTAAGCATGAACTTACAATATTGATAAATTTATGAATTTATTACAATAAGATATTATGGCCTAAGTAAGGAATTTTAAATCACTTTCTTTTTTCTATCCAATTTCTAATATCCATTACAGTCATTTTTATATAAATGCAAATTATGTGCAATAAAATTTTACTGAATAAATTTGATGTCGTTTAATTTAGACAAGGCACTTGCTTAATATACTATTTATACTATTATGACATGTATATTTGTGAGATCAATAATCACCATTGAGTAAATTCACGTTCATTGATATTTTTTGAGAGATCAAAATATTAGATATTCGTACATGTTCTCTACTATTTTGTGTATTATTAGATTCAGATGCTGAACCATTATTATTATTATTGTTATTATCTTCTTCAGCTGAATTAGATGAAGACGGATTATTTGTTTCAACTAAAGTTGTGTTTAAACTATTATCCAATTGTTCTATTTCATATCCATCTGAGTTCCCATTTGTAACTTCAAGTGTTAATCGTCTGCAAATATACAGTTATACAATAATTATATAACAGAATCCAAAAACATTCTTAGAAATTAAATATTTACTTACTCCGGAATCCAGCTATTAAATTGATGATCATCTGTTGATAACTCAGACATGGAATGTAGTTGCTCCATTGCATTTATGCTGTCGTTACTCGAATCATTTTCATAATTCGGATTTGTACGAATCCAACTCGGAGGCACATAACAGCCAGCACGTACAAGATTATTCTTATCCTTTAAATTTTTATTGTTATTAAATGATACTGGAGATGATCCTTCCTTACAGGTGATGAAAGGTCCTGTAAAATACACAATTTATGAAACAATTATATTAAGTATCATATTAATATTCACGATGTAACATACATAATTCTATACACGTTATTACCGCGTTCTGAACAGCTCGCAGTTAATTCAGCGTTCAAGGTAGGTTTACTGTAATGAAATAATCGAGTTTTTCGTATAGAAAAAAAATTAACCGCTTTTTTAACGGTTAGTAACTTCAACATATAAAGTGTTAAAAAATGAGTATTTAAGACACAGAAGCTACTAACTACAGTGCTTGTATATCTTAATTTACAATTTGGCGTGAATTTATTGAATATTTATTTTACTACAAATATTATTTAAAGAAGAAAGAACATTAAAGAAACTACCTTTAAATAAAGAGATATTAAACTACTAATCTACCCACTTATTAATAGCAAATAGTCGTCGTACTTTGTGTCATTTTAAATATTTCTTTAAGCAGTGCTGCACTAAATGGAATGAATGTGTGCTTTAGTATTAATAATGTTTATAACAGTCAGTATTACTCACTATTTTCCAACGGTGGCGCAGTGGGTTCCATCACGCAAAGTTCACCGCACGGTTTACCCTTATTATTTTGTTGCTTTGACATTCCTGGAATATATCATATAATTGCATTTGATTTTCTAAACAAACTTACACATATTTCTATCATATTTACAAACATTTAAGGTTTAATACTTACGTTTTCTGAGAAGTATACCGACGAATTTAGCGATTAAGCAAAGAAACAGGGATATTCCAACTGTGATGTAAATAATCATATAATTATTTAATCTGTCCGTTTCTGTATAAATTAAAGTGAAATTAGTATACAAATTTTAAACAAAATATTTAACAAGATAATTTCATTATTTCTTACCTAAACTATTTTGCTGCGCGTTTATTTTCCAACATAACAATGCCATTTCTCCTGTGCCCAATTTTTCCGTGGAGTAGCTGCAATTATTTTAAAGTTAATAACAGTAAAACAGCGTATATGAATATGTATGAAAAATTAAGAGATAAAAATATGAAAACATATGAATGTATAACAAACTATAATTACCCAGAAAGACAAGGTCCACACTGAGAAGGATGTTGTGATCTTTTTTCATGATTTTCTTGTCTATTATACCTGCTGCATTGGGTATAGTCAACGCATCGTTCCGATACATGATAACAGTACTGCTTATCGGAACAGTCTGTATCGTCACGACAAAATCTTTCCTCTATCGTAGCCTATGAAAAAGAATAATTTAAAAAATTTTAATCCGATACATGAATACTATTTAAAATATTTGGAAAAGTACATCTTCAAAAAACTAACTTAATACGTTAATACTGATTCTATCAAACGTATTAATAGGTGAAGAACTTGTAAGCTATAATATTTTCATCAAGGTATATCATTTTTACAGATACATTAATACTGAAATTGTAAAGATACCTTTATGTTTGCGTTATATTTATTATACGAATTCAATTTTTATACTTTATTATAAAAAAGTAGTGTTATTTCTAATATTTTTTTATTTTATTCTGTCTCTAGAAATCAAATACGGAACGTGCGGCATTTCCGGTTTCAATATCCAAGGACTCTCGACGGTTCCTTATGACCTACATATAAGTTTGAAACAACTTTCAAAGGACCATCCCTCTAGTTTTTCATTTCCTTTTTTATAATAACAATTAATAAAAAAATAAAAAAATAAAAAGCGAGAAACAAAATGCCATTTCATAGTTCCAATTAATTCGTTATAAAGTAAATTACTATTTCTTCTTTATTAATTCCTAATAGACAAATATCTATTATTAAAAATTTGCAATTTGTATGATATTTAATATAATGTAACATTTGTAATATTTATTAAAATTTCTTAACAATCGTATATTTAAAAATAAAAAATAATGTTTTAAAATTTGTTATTATTGATTTAACCTTTCACAAAACGATGAAGAACTAGAGTATACAAATAGTATAAAATAAGCAAAATATAAAAGAACATTTGAAAGAATTGAATTTTTGTTTAAATAAAAGTAAATATACAAAATTTATAAAATTATTGATAATTTTAGTTAATCGAATGATAAGACAGTGATTCTGCAGATTTCAAACTCTTTTCGCACCACCATTTTGTTTCGCCGCCATCTGAAAGCTCTTACATTCACCGTTTAACATAAAAGGTTGAATTAAAGTTGATTAAAATCCGCATACAGTACATTTAGTATCCATTATTTTGACTATAACACATCTTTAAATGTTTTACATTAACTTTTTTGTAAATTGTGTAATTATAAAAAATATTTAATAATGGCAATTTTTTATTATTTCTTTATAAGTATATTATTTATTTTTAATTATTGGAAAATGTTTTTAAATATAGTCGAAAATGACTGTTCCAGAATGCAACACGCGCATTTTTTTAACTTTATTTGCAGCATCTATCAGATCAAATATATATATTGCTATATTCACGTCATAGTCGTAAATCTAATAAATAGTTACGATTAATGAAATATATGAAATATATAACATTAGATCATAGCACAATCGATAAGTTTCTGGAAAACGATTACAATTTTGATCGCACTATATGTGACATTTGTCATTGTTGAATAACCGTATTATATATTAAGATCAAACATAGGAAATCAGTTTATTTTGATATTTGCTGAAGATATACATGTATGTGTACTTATATGCAGTAAGTACAAGTAAAATCAAGGAACAAAGTTTTAACAATTTTTTTTATTCTTAAACGGGAACTCAGACGGAGAAATTTTTACTATACAGTGACAGAGCACCAAAAATATTTCTTTATTTAGTATAGTTATATAGTTGAATTTAAAAAAAAACAGAAATTGAATTGTAATTTTGAGCAAGGATTTCATGAAAAATATCGAACCGTATGTAACTTGTTTGCGTACATGTATACTTCTATTAAAATAAGAATTTTTTAGTATTCTCTTAAAATTTGTATAACGTTCGAATAAATTCGTAGGCCACTGTATATTAATCCACGAATTTTTAATTTGATAATAATGTTTAAATATTAAAAATTTATAAGATTTATAAAATTTGTCGGTAAATCGTAAAATATATTTAATATAATTTATAGATCACAATCCCAAGTATTAAATGTTAAAATTATATAAAAATCCAATTAACTTTATTTATTGACAGATATGGTTGCTACGCAAAAAGTCTGTTATTGAAATATGCAATGATTCATAAACAAAAGAGTATCTTTGTCGATTGATAATTATCTACACAATGTATCAGGATATCTAATATTATAATTATACTTTTATTCTTTTACGATATCTTATTTTGACGATGGCGGTAGATTCTCGGACGAAAAAGAAAAAAGCGTTGGTCGTATGAGTCATCGTCGCGCGCCGATGTCGTACCGAGAATTGTTGAACACATATTCCGGTTCTAGCAACAAGATCACACTAAAATTTGCACAAAATACTGCTCACTACAGAAATTTATATACATTTTTCTTTCGCTCTACTTTATCATTAAGTTTCATTTTAGTTACAATAAAAAAAATAAAATGTATTATCAGTGCGCTGTTATTCATTATAATAATGAAAGCAAGTATATTTATGAGGATATATGATCACCCACGAAACCTAATGTAACATACAGGTTAAAAAAAAACCATTGAAAACAATAAAATTTTAAAAAAGATGATGAAATCTTAATGTGAAGTTACGAAACTTTCAAATATAATTTCAGTAAGGAATAAAAAGAATAAAAATTATTGTCGGGGTGACATTTTATGATTAGGTATATGATTTGATATTCCCCATCATATGCCTATCATAATAATAATCTCTGTTTGTCACAGCTCCTATAAATATGTAACATATATATACTGTTGCTGATATGTAATACACTTCAAACTTTATTATACTTGATTTGGCAACACGGATATGTCCATAGTAACGGAGTGGATATGTATGTCCTTTGTAATTATGTGTTACGTTGTTAGAAAACTTTTTAAATTAGTTTATTCGATTCGCTTGTAAGTCAAAATTAACAAATGAGGGAAGTGAAAGACTCCGTATTCGTATATAGTAATTGCGAATTTGAAATTTCTTTTACTTACCATTGGAGAATATGATTTGACTATATAAAGGTCTCAAATATGTATTACTCCTGTAATTGTACTTGCATGTACGCAATATACGTCTGTAGGCTATTGACAGGTTCATTCGTGCGCACAATTCCGCACGCAACCACACTTGCTCGTTCAAGATCCACCTGAAACCCAACGTTGTTGTTACTCGCCGAGTCGGCGTATACTGAACATGTTCAGACCTGCTTACCACAAAACAGGTGGTGGGGGTGATGACAGTAGCGTAGACGTATTATACTGACCCTTCGCTTTTCATAGACAATAGAGCATGGTCATTCATGTACTGCGCAGATAGAGGAAAAAACTAAATGAAAAATATTTATGAAAATTTATGTTATATATTCATGGGAGAAAATCGATATAAGTTTGGTTTTTAAAATAGATTTAAAATTTATTTTATAATTTTATAAATCATAAACATTTTTTATATTACATTTTATATTGCAATATTATACTATACATTTATTTTTGTACTATATATTCATATTTATGTTATAGCAAATTAATACTCGTGTTTTTTTGAGAAAAAATTTCTTTTATTTTTCTTTTATATAAATTAATTGATTATGACAAGACCAGCATTTTTCCTTTTTTAAGTTATTTTTCATTGGTTATATTTTTGTAATTTAATAAGATAATAAAATATTTAATGATAAAATTTATCACATTGAGTCACTGTATAGATGCATATACATACATAGGGATGCACCCTTGTTGAAAGATGTTTCTTTAAAATCTTTTCTGATAACATTTTTTTATATTATATCTCTGATACTTTATTTTATATTATTCTATATTATATAATATTGTAAAATTAACAGATGGATGCATTCAAATTTTAATTGAAAACTAGCTGATATAGTAAATCAATCTTTTAAAAAGTATGTATGGTAAATAAAATTCCTTTTCTTTTTATTATACGACATAGTACGTAGTTTAGTTTTAGATATTTTTTTCTAATTGCATTCAAAATTTACTAACAATTTCATATTGTTGTCAAAACAAACGTAATATATTACGCCTGTCCACTTTTAAACGTTAGCTAGTTAATTTAGAAAGTAGGGATAAACGGTAACAGTAGCGTATATATTATGATATTATGGGTACCTATTAATAAATCACAAATCTACTTTTGTAAAACAATTTTGAATCAGGAGTAAATCGAAGTGTTTAAGTTTATATTAATTACAATGCTAAATATTACGTATGAATTAAAATTCATCACTATTTAAATTATGCTTAAGGAATTTTAAAATTTTAATTTAACTTTGAATTCAATTAAGAATCTTTGATTCTTCATAACATTTTAATAAATTAGTCTCGTTAAATTTCAAAATTTTTTCAAGAATCACAGGTTAATGTTATTTAAATTTTACATACCTGTGTCTATTAATAATTATCGAAGGTGGAATATTTAAAAACAACATATAATGAAGTAAAAAACATAATGTGTATTTCTCATTTTAGTATATATGTACATACACTGATAAAATGGGAACAGCCTTATTTCTATTAATTTACGATATAATAATAAGCCATAATATAATACTTAAAGTATCAAACACAAAATTTCAAACATTTCTAGAATATCATAATATAATTTTTAAATTACAATTATCAAGAGTTAATATTTAAACAGTTTCTGTACTGTTTCATTGCATCAATGATTATGGTGTCACAAACTGATAATTTGAAGCTTATTCTTGTTCTGCTTTTAAAAAGTTTTCCAACATGACATTTATGGTATTAAACTTAACATTTATAATGTATATTAGAAATTTACTTTTTCATATTTGAATAAATTACTTGGTTGCCATTGACATGTAGTAAGTAATTCTTAATTGCTTTCCTGTACAAACAATTACATATAGGTACCCAATAATAAAGAATATCATTTCGATTCATGGTGTAAATTATCGTATTACCCATTATGTCACTTTCTTTTAACATATAAGCTTTTTTTAATAAATGGTAACCAATTAATATGTAGCATATAAAAGGCTACCATTTTTATATAATGTTTTTCCTTTGAGGTATCCAAATATATGAACCATTAGAATCTTCTTTCCAGGCACTACTTCATTTATCATATTATGGTCTGTGCTAACTTATTAATTATTGACAGTTAACAAAATATTCACATCACTTCCATACTATTCTGTGTATTTTCTGTAAAACCCAATGTAGATGTTGGTGCATCTTGTGATGTTTCTTCTAATGACTGTGCATCCATGCCTTCTGGTACATTATTTGTTGCTGAACTTGTTCCGTCATCCCAATTTATTTTGAATCTAGTGACACGTGGTTTATCTCCTAAGATATTTCTTTGTACTTTATCAAATTGAGGTTGTGGTGGTGGATTTTCTCTAAGTTCTGCGTCTGTGTACTCATTATTTATGAAATATCCAACACGCACAAATTCATGTCCTCTGTATGAACAAGTTAATAAAACAACTGTGACTCCTAAAGCATCATTTACAGGAATTCTACTGACATCAGGAGGATCAGCCTAAAATAAGTAATAAGTGTGAAATTTATATATAAAGATATTAATGTATTAAATGTACATTTAGAAAAGATTTTAATTACAATGTACAACTGTTAGTTTATTGTTAATTAAGCTATTAATCAAACAACATTATCAATTTACCTGAAAAATAAACATATGCCTTCCTTCAGGAATTGGACCAACATAAATTGTATCTAAAACCTGATCAAACTCTTCAGATTCGGCACTACCGACATAGATCATTTTCCATTCCAAATCTGTAAAACCATTGTGGTTGTTTGATATTTTATATCGCTTGTTCGAAACGAATCATTTAAAAAGAAAATATATCGATGCTCTTATCATCAACGTATATCACAATAACATTACCAGATAATATTTTAGTCATTCGTCCTTGGAAAACAAAGTATTAAATAGTTAAAACTAACCTAACATAAGCATTGAAAATATTCAAATGTGTATTCGTTTCGAACGATGCTAGTACCAATTTATAATTGTTTCATGCACAAAAAAAAAAAGAAAAAGATGTACCTTCTTTTAATTCTTCGATACATTCGAAAGTAACTTCGAATTGGAATGGATTTAGAAACGGTGAAGGATTATCAAGAACTGCTACATTTGCTAATTGAACTTTAGCCATGGTTCACTTTGTTTAACGAATAATTTTACAGAAAAACTGAGATTTTCACAATAATAACTTTGAAAAATCGTTTATTAAACTACAATCTTCACACTTAATTAGAGGATTAATCCCGTGAAACACGAAAGATCTCGAATCAAAGCATAAACAATTTCATTCCAACACACTGCTTACTTTGGCGGCAAACGACCCAAAGGACGTTTCCGGTGCTACGAGACTAACGAAACTTCATAAGTATCGTAAATATTTCACAGTAAAAGAAATTCAAAAAGTTGTTCGCCTTAATTTGGAATGAATTTTAAAAAATATATGGACAACTTCTTGTTAATCTTGTCTGAATTTTAAAGATTGTCTAATGTAAATATGGTAATTAAAAAATTGTTCGTTACACATCTTTGAAATTTTCACTTTCAAATACGCGTATAATATAATTTAATTTTCTTCTTTCTATTTACAGAATTTTAAAGTTACAAAATGTATAGATTTTCAAAAATAAATAAAGAATAAAATGTATTTATTTATTTATGCTTATTTTAATGCAAGAATACATTTATACATTTGTAAGATATCTTATAAGAATGTCGGTCCTTAAGGATTATTTACAATATACAAATATGTAATTGGTGTAATTATGAATTTTTTAGATCCAATCATAAAAGACAATAATATCCTTGGACAAATTATTAATAGTGACTTTTTGTTTTCAAATATTACAGCATTATAAAATATTACAAATTTTAGTTGAATGAAACTCAGTAGTTGATGTTTGATTTAAAGAATTGTAAGCATAGATAAGATACAACATAGATTTAATACTCATTGCGCTTTTGTGCCACTGTTTAAGGATTCGTGAATTCATGAATCATTTTCAATATTATCAATTCAGCATAGGATAGGATTACAAATATCATTAGTAATCCTGATTAAAGTTATATATAACTAAAAACTGATTAATATATTTCATAACTGTACTAAAGATGTAATATGGAAATTAAAATAAATTTAAGATCTAATACATTTTGTAATATACATCAAAGGGGTTCTAGAATCCTCTTATTATTTTAGTGCCAGTTCCAATATTACCGATGCAGTATATACTAAAATTACAAAATATAACTAAAATGTCGATAACATTACGAGTGACTGTATATCCTAGAAACCGGAACGAAGAAATTCACACAATACCATCTATTTTATACCTCATTTGCGGTTTTGTTATGCCCTTTATAATTTAGGAGGGTTAATGCAGAAATTATTTTTTATTTAACTACAAAAGTTGATGAAATCAGTAAGAGTAAAAATATTTTTTGTATTATTTGGTAAGTTCATATTGAAATCTATATTAAATTTATAACACGAACTTACTTTTACGTATATAGTATATTTTTCTTACTATTTCAATCTTTTGTCAATAGGTGGTTTGCCTAGGAGATTCTCTTCAAAAATACATACAATACAATATAAAATTACAAATTAAATCACAGGATTTCATTTAAAGATTATTTTAAAGAAATGCAATTGATTTTCTCATATTTGTTATTCTATTTCATATTCTAAGCTTTAAAACAATTTTAGTAAAAAAAAAACTTATTCTACTAAAGTTGAAAAATAGTATTACTTGTTTTTAAAATGTATGATTTGAAGGATGAGTTTCCTACTATTATTTTTGATGGAAATGAAATTGCATCAAAGCAACCACAATTTTACATATAAGGTTTATTAAATATTTTTTTATATACATTGTTCCTGACATGTGTTATCTATACAGAATTGCTTTTACATCGCGACATAGGTCGGCGGACAACTCATTGTCAAATATTTTTATTCTTTTATTCTCAAAATGTCAATGCAAATTTATAAATGAGCAACATCAAAAAAAACGCTTTAAACAGCATTACTATTCGTTCCGAGTAGCACCGTTTGATTCATTAGTAGGTCATGACAATTAAATTAATTTCTATTAATTTCTTCTCTTGGCGTTAAAGAAAATTAAAACTTAATGCTCGACGATTATTTTATGACGCAGAATACAGTACGTAATAATAACGCAAAATGTTCAAGCAGACCGAAAAAGTGGGTCAAAAATAAATTCTAAAACGGGTATAAATAAATTTGGTAGATTAAACCTTTTTCTATAAAACAATTGCAAGAATATAAAATGTTTTAGTACTTCGTTTGACAAGTTAATATATCTGTTTACATTTGTTTACAACCGATGTTTACATGCCCGTCCATTTATGTTTATAATTAATATCGAAATTTTCTTCATTGAAACAGAATAAAGGTGGAAAACTATTTCGTGCAAAGATTAATATTAACATAAGCGAAGAAAATTAAGAGAAACATAACGTGTTTCACAAAAAAGCTTTTATTTACACTTGTTCCTCTTTCTTCAGCGTTATGTTCGTATAACCTAAAATTGCAATAAGATCCCACAAAATCGATCGCATTCACACTGATCACTTTCTTTGCTGTGGAATGTTTCACATAATAAATACAACTTCCGACATAAATTAAAAACGAGTCTTGCATTTACAACCGAGAGGAAGGTGAGTTGAGAGGTTAGGTACATGTATGTAGTGAACGTGTCGTGTACGGTCGTGTGCACGGGAGTATTCGGATCGCGTGCACGTGTTATGTTTGTTTACATGTGAATTTCGGTGCGTGTCGAATAGAATCTGCACAGATCCTATCGCAACGAAATTATATCTACTCATGACGAGCCCGTATACCTTATTTACAATGTCCATATAAACATATACACTGCGCTGACCGCTTATTTAACCTATTATCAATATTACGAAGTGAAGAAGATAGAAAGTACTGTTTTGTACCTTAGGTTCAATGCGAACATACACAAGGTACATACACAATGCGAAACACGATAACTCAAAAAAAAAAAAAAAAAAAAAAAAAAAAAAAATAGAAAGGAAAAAAGAAAAGAAAGGAGGAAAGAAGAGACAGGTTAGACGAATGAAAGTGGAAAATAGAAGGAAAGAACACATACAGAATACATAGGTAGAGGAAAAATACATAGTTAAAGAAACGGAAGAAATATGCTGGCCTGTGCGCGAAGTTCAATCCTTCGTATGTGGTGTCTCCGACGCGGAGAGAAAACATGGTTACATCGTGCTTGTCGCTCGACATTGAATTCGTTTAACAGAAATCGCTGATATCCGTCCCTAAGAGCGCTGTAGCATCTACCGGCTACATTGACATAACTTAATATGTAACAGGGAATTCTTAATCCAACTCTTAATTGCTAAATCAATCTTACAATTGGACTGAGTGATAAATTATTATCGACTGTACAACGCCGCTAGTCTTTTCTTTCTTTCTTCAATTTCTTCATTATATCTTATTCGTTATTCCATTTTTTTTTTCTTTTCAGGTTGCTTTCTTTCAACAATTCTTGGCAACAAAAACAAAAGAAACATTGTATATTCTCTAGTCGCTGCTGGAAATTTTGTTCTCATAGAATTGCAAAACAAATTTTCCGAGTCGTTTCTTATTCATTTTCTTTCATATTACTTGGACCACGTGAGTAAGTTTCCATGTTTTTATTCTTAATTTTTCTTTCACTTTACTTTTCATTATAAAATATACTTTCTGCAGATCTCAAAGCAATATGCCATGGAGCACGTGCACATGGGATCTCGAGGAAGGATACGCGTATCGGTTAAACAAGTGATAAAATGGTTTGTCATATCATAAATTTGTACAAACATGCGATTCGCTTTCAGTCAGCTCTTAATAATTAAGAAAAGCACCAATATTCGTCGAGATAATTTTTGTCATAAGAAAAACGATTCTAGAAGTTTACGTAAACAGAGGTAAAAGAGTAGTAATAATGGAAAATAAATTACTAGATGGTCTATAGATATTCACGGAATCACGATAGTTTTAATAAATCACATGTTACACCGATACGTTCCACAGCCGAGTTTTCCTCGCTACTCGAAGAAGAAAAAACGAAAGAAAGCTTGCCTCCTAAAAGTTCTCATTTCTCTCTTTTCAATGACGATATTCAATCGTTCGATTGAATCATATGAACCTTAATAAGTACCAAGTGCCTAATATAAGGTCAACATTCGAGATACCCTGAACACTACCCACGTTAACAGGTAGAGAAATGAAACTCTATTATCGAGTTTCGCGTATACATTTTTCCGTTTTCGTTTCATTTGTTTTTCTTCTCTGTCTCTCGATCGAGAATGTCGAAATAAATATTACGAATACCATGAACAGCAAAGATTCGTCGGCTCGAACGCAGACGCGAAGCAGGAAAATGCGAATGGTGAGTTTCGTATTTTTTTCATTTTTCGCTTTAGATTTTGTCTATACACAGGACGTATCTTACATAGAGTAAAGGTAAAATTAGTTTCTTCGAAGTTGTTTAGACCATCAGTTGCCAGAGGAAGCCACGGAACATTTTATATCTTGGTTGACGATCTCCTCTGACCGTAATCTGTAACAATATATAAGAAACAATCGTGAGAAGCTTGTAAATAACGTATTTTCTTTTCGTTTTTTAAGGTAGTAACTTTAAATCTGCCGGAAACGAAACTGCTCTTTATCCCTCGTTATCGTTAAAACTATATAGAATCTTTTAACAGCGTATCTCTCGTATCGTCCCGGAAAGCCCGGTGATTTTGTGCGCGCGCACTCGTTAATTCATTGTTCCCATTAAATTACTTTTAGCGCCACTACATAAAAACAGGGGAAGGAACTTTAACCTCCGGTAGGTAAACTTTTTTATCAACTTCTTAGTAAGATAAAACGCGCGAAATCTGAACTTTTACCACATTTCCCGTCATTCGCCCCTCAATTTTAACCGAATTATGTCTCGTTGTATCAGAACTCTTTACGACGTCTGAGCAAGAAGTTCATAGAAAATTTTTTAACCTTTATCGGCAATGTAGGTATAGTTTCATATTTCTTGTATACTTTTAGTATACAGACTACACTATACGCTAAATCATAGTTTTGACTCCACAGTATTCCATATAAAAATATACATAATTTCAACGTAAAATATAATACTTTGACTATTAGATTAATTCTATGTAAGTAGTTTACGGTGTCAGAATAAATATTTTATTTTGTCACGTATAATATATATATATTATAGTATATGAATCATATATAGTTAAAAATGAAATTATTTAAATACCTTTTATGCTGCACTAGTCTTTTTATATCATTGTAATAACAAATATTAAAAATTCTAGGAACATTTTACCAGTGTTACTAGTCGTTGGTCTGTAGTAATAAGCAACATGGCGCCGTAGACAAATTGGGCACTGATCATCGGTAACTTCCATAGTAGTAATCAGAATTTATGCACAAGTTTCTCCTTGAACTTTTGCTCATTTATTAATTACCTCCTTCCCTTTTACACTTGAGCTAACCTATTTATAGATTTTTATTAAACTCACCGTGTCAATGGGAACAAGAAGTTATCATCTGAAGCGCCTGGAACAACAGACTTTTACGTGTTGATATACAACTGGTGGTGAGCCTGATGCTGACTCTGATGTGGATGCTGTAGCGAGTGTTGATGCTGATGCTGATGAGGGTGCTGATGTTGCAGCGTCGGATGTCTCGTGTTGAATCTGACACTTCCGGCCAGTGAGCTTCCTCTACCATGAGTGCCCACAACACTCGGCGTGTCAGATAATTCGTCATCTTCCGCTCCTAGACTACGGAACCTGACGAACCCGTCCTCGGCGACTAACATCGTCGAACCTGTGGTCGGTGTTTGCTCGTGGACACTGCCACCACCACCCTGTTGCACCGGTGTGTGCCTGCCACGACTTTCGGAGTTCCTGAGAGTTTGTATCCCATTACCGTGCCGGTTTAACGAGCCGCGACCTTCGTGCGGGAAATGGCCCATGGTGCCTGACTTGCGAATGGAATGCCTCTCGAAAGTACCTACGACAACGACACTGTTATTTAGCATACCATAGTTCCATGCTTGGAAAAGGAATCAGTTGTTCATTATTTTCGCTTTTTTCTTGCTTCGTCATGGTTCGCAGTGTATTTCGTTTAAGCAAACCGACGAAGTTTCCTTTGAGAATCAGAGGTGCAGAATGGAAAGTAGAAGAGAATAGCCTTTGAGTTAGTCCTCTTTTAGCATGAAAGGATGTTTCATTAACGAAAAGTCGAAATGCCATTTTGTTATGCATTTATACATCGTAAAAGTAGGTTGCAGGAAAATGAATAAACCGGAAATCGATGTTGATACCCGGAAGAATGCGTAGGATTTGATTGAAAATTTTTTGTTTAAATAAACTGAAGCGTAGAATACTTCGAAGATTCGGTTACCATTTGTCCCCTTTGCTTTATATTTCCGGTATTCTAAAATGGCAGCGGGGATAAGAAAGAATCAATGTCCTTAGACAATACACTATTCCGGTCCTACAACCTTAAAAGTAATAGCGCGTCGATTAGAAGACAAAGCGCAGAAAGAACTGCTGATTTTGAGGTTTCAATATTGTACTAATACCGCGAGTCAGCGTTTTGAACTCTTCTCAAGGCACGTTGACTGAAACAGCACGTTGCTCCGGATGACCCAATTTATCGTTTTATATCTCGCGAGAGTATTGAGAAAGACCATGTGAATTCTAAAAGCATTTTTTCGTCATGTGAATTTTAAGAAAGTATTATTGAACATTTTGCAAACATCCTTCCATGTACTAAGCTACTTCTCGTCAGTTCTGTATCGAAAAACAATTGATTCTTAGTAAAAAGTACTTCAAAGTTAGACGGGCCTCTGTATATCTTTAAACTCTAAAAGGTTTTTCCTTTATATTTCACCAAGAAATAATTTAAAAAAAAACATTTCTCGCTTAAACGAGATACTCAGAGATCAACAGATTCCTCTGTGAGGAAATTCTTACGAACCAGAAGCAAAAGATAGTGGACGGTTTAGTGGACGGATTCGGATAGTAACGTTCAATCACACAGTAGCGCATTGTCGATACCTGATATGTTCAAATGTTCGGGCAGCGTGTTCAGCGGGAAGCTATCGTCGTAAACCTGTTTCCCGGTTCTCATCGTGTAATTCTGGATCGCCTGGTTGGTGCTGCAGATAGCGGGGTAAAGCACATCGTCCATATTCTCGGTGGAGGTCGAGCTACCGCATGGAAACAGAGCGAAGCCAGAGTGGACCGGATGTTGTTGCAGCTGTTTCTCTCGCAACGGGTACTGGGATAGACTAGCTACCCAGGCGAGAAGACCGCATACAGCTAGCTCTAGTAGCCTAACGAAGAATTGCCAGCCCCACCATAGCCATCGATTCGATTGCGGTCGTTCCTGGACGTTGCCGAAGATGCCATACAGCTGAACGAATCCCATAAGGATAAAGAAGAGGGCAGTAGCGATACTGGTGGTAATGGCGGTACTCAAGGCCATCGTGGTAGGATCAGCACCGACTATATGATTCGTTCCTGCCGTCTTATTGTTTGTCAGAAGGATTTGTGAGCGCACTACACGGTACACGTACATGTAGCCTAGGCCAAGGGTTACGCAAACGATGATGTAGATGCACTGACAGATCAATGGTAGTATTTTCGCCTCATCCTGATAGCCGAGCACATGCGTGGACACATGCAGCGAGACACAAAGGACTATGTGAACGGTCGAGGATAGGACGAGTGCGGCTGGCGACAGGAACCTGTTGTTCAGCGAAGGAGCCTCCGAGCAACGGGCCAGGTAGAGTACCAAAGTGGCGAACGCTGTGGATAACAACGGTGCTGGTAGGTACATGAGCACCCGGGACAAAGGCTCGGGTAGTGAATGTTCTAGATTGTAAGCGTCGTAAAACAGGTGAAAGCACCTTAAGGTACAAACAGTCGTAAGAAGCAGATGAACAGTGAGGAAGTACGACTGAGTAAGTAGATTCGTTGCTTCGTTGAAACGAACAATCTTGTAGATCGAATATAGGGCCATTAACGTGAACATGATTGCCACCACGTACACATGGAGGAACCAAGCGATTCGCCAAGTGGATTCGAGGGGATACGTGTCGATCTGCGGCACAATACGGTCACCGGCCTCGTTGGGCCTCTTCGGTGGTGGAGCCGGAGGTTGCGGCTGAGGGTACGGTAGCCTTTCCGTGTCCACGATTTCGATGTTTTCCGTCTTGAAGCCGTTTTCATTCCTGAGTCCATGGTAACCGTCGTCGTCATGTCTCCTGGTATTTGGTAGATTGAAGATCGTTGGTTGTGTAACAGACTTGGAAGAATCTAGGGTGCTGGACGCTCTAGCCGTTGTGGTAGACAGTGTGGTCATCTTTTCGGTGGTCGGGATTACAGGCGCATTCTGTGGCGGACTCTTCGTGGCTAGAGGCTTCAAAAGTATCTCTGGAATATCCTGTTTTCGCCCGTTGCTTCCTGACAGTATCCTGGAGATGCTTGGATAATGCAAAGTAGGTACGAACTCGTTGGTATTGTTCCTTCTGTCCAGCTCGCTAGACTCTACCACATTTTGTTCCTTACTGGGCGTATTTAAAGGCTTATTTCTAGAATGAGAGTGTCTTTCCGGCACTTGAGAGGGGCCTTGAAGGTCGGGAGGCCTAATGGGTATCCTCTCGTGAGCTGGTGTGCCGCTCGGTGGCGGTACCGGTCTCTTGAGACCCGAATGAACATCCGAGTTGGTTCCTCTCAGCGTTGGCTTATTTGCAAACGGATGAAGGTACTCCGGTGGTAGAGGAGGAGTGAAGAGAGCGCGAGAAGGAGGAGCATACGAAGGCAATTCGCGAAAGGCAGGCGACATGGTCACCCGAGGAACAGAAGGATATCTGACAGAGGGTATCGACGGGCTCGTCGTTGTGGTCGTAGTCGTCAGGGGTGACGGTTCTGTCGACAGGGTTGTACTGGCCGAGACTTGGGCATCGTAGGCGGGCACGCTGCGTTTCGTGGTTGCTGAGCTATGTGCCACTAACTTAAATATGGCTGCTAGATTTTTCTCCAGTGCCGTATTGTCCAGGTTAAAGATTGGGCTATTAGGTCCACCATCGCCGTTCGCTGAACAAAGAAGGTTCGAGCAAGAGGACAGTATCAGCAGCAACGTCGACAGAAGCAGACGCATCATCGGGGTCATGATGATGCTTGACAGTAGTAGAACCTGAAGCACGGACAGCTAAAAAATTCAGTCGGGCATCGGTTCATTCCATAACCAAAAGTAGGAAACGCGAGAGTTTGCTGGTATGCACGTGACGACGAGTGCACTCAACGTTCTAAGGACACTTGTGAAGATGTCTATGTATCTTCCTCTAACAAATCCCTATTTTTTTTTCTGTCCCCTGGCACGGCGCGTTCTTTTAAACTTCTGTCGATATTACAGTTGCAAGTTAGCCTCAGAGTGAGTCCTGTTTGGCGTGGGTGTGCACGAAGCCAAATTTTACATTTCTAAATGTTGTACACGGCGGCGGCGACGGCAGGCTAGTAGTTTATGCCTTCTTGGTGGATCCCCCTTTTACGGTGTTGCTTATCAATGGCATCTGTTGCATTTCCTCTCTTCAGATAGTAGCTATATCACTGGCCTGATCTTTGGAAGAGTTTCGTAGTGAATTTACTTCGTCCTCCGAGCAGTTGGATTCCTCCTAGAACGCTTTGAATTCTCTCTTCATTGGCTATACTTGTATATATCTACATTTTAGACGAGAGATCCATGAGATCAAGTTTCCATGCGATTCGTATGATAAACAGAATGGCTGAATGGAAGTTGGAAATTAAGAAAGGACTACGGCTTATTATACTTTTGTCCAATTTCAACTGTACAGAAGAAGCACAGCATACACGCGTCGTTTACAGCTGACCTTTCCTCCTGAATATTTTTTTATTTTGTTATATAGTTGAAGGCTCCATATACGATCAACTATTACCGCTTTGCTTCGTGTACTTCCATTATATCAACGGGATTCAATAAGCCTTGGATTATTTTGCCGTGGTAACGGCGTTACAACGTCGCCTTGTTCTTGGGGCAAGACTCGATTTAAAACCTATCTACTTTTACGGACGATAGAACGTCGGCGAACTTGTTAGCCGGGCTTAATCCGATATCATCATTGCTCGAAGCCATCCCAGATTCGCGAGAGCCTCGGGCGAAACCTGAATTCCTGAGGGTACATTTAATGTCTAGAATCAGTCGGAGTTCCTTCTGGATGGGATGCTCTCGTAGTTACCGCGTCCATTGATTTCCTCGAAACGTGTGCGCCACCGTTTCCCGTCTGTCTTTCTTCTTTTCTCTCTCTCTCTTTCTCTTTCTGTGTTTCCCTGTTGCTCTCTCTGTCTTCGTGCACTTACTGCCGGCCACTTTTCGCCTCTGCCAACCGGTATCCGTGTGGTTACCACCTGTGAAAAATATTTCTCCATTAATTTTTCCTCTATTATTTCAAATGGTGGCTGGCTGACGGAATATAATTAAAACTGACCGAAGAGATTATAGGAAACGTGAGGAAACAATTATTGCAAAATGTCACTAGATAAAGAGTCCAAGCTAAATCATTAGTATTATAAACGCAGATGAACCGAGCTAATTTTTACCTCCATGAATTACTTCCTTTGTTTTATAGTACTTATTGATCACGAAAGATTTTGTGATATCTAATTTTATAATATGATCTTTATATGGCCTTATATTCATTTTGTACTGTGATCTTTAAATGACCTTTTTGTATCTCGAACAATACGTAGTGGGCTTGCTTACTTAACGCTTTTATTTTAAAAAGAAACTTAAATTTCGATGAACTCATATCTGTTTTATGTGACCAGATCAAAGGGCTGCAGTAATTTTCAAGATCATACAATGGGAAAGGTCGTCGTTGAAATAAATCAACTGGAAATATATTTAAAAAATTACTCGGTAATTTTTACATCAGATTAAAATTTAAGACTGCATAAACTTATTGCACGATATTC